ATTTTGTCTGAATGCCTCATGCATCACTTTAAGCTCATTTCCTCTCATTGAACAGAGGGAAGACAGCTGGCCAGCACCTTCCATCTGCACTGCCCCCGGTCTTCTCCTAACTGTGTTACACAACACCCTTCTGAAATGGGAGGAGGACGTCAATTTGAAACAGGAGAGAAAACTCAAAGAAAAAAAAGAAAAATCTTGTGGGATTTCAAACTTAACTTTGAATGAGGCTATAGTTTAGGTCAAGGAATGGGCCAAAATACTGAAGTGCTGCCCCTTGAATAATTCAGACTAATTCTTAAATAGTATTACAGGGTCATAAAACACCAGGCCTGGAAATTAAAGATGTTTATGCCTCATCAGAAAGTCTTTGAATGTGACTCTGGCACACTGCCAACAAGGGCAGCTCTTTTGGGGGAAACCCTATGCCAAAGGGCAAAGAGGCAGCTGTGTTATTCAGCTCCCGGGAGCTTCCAGCTCGACACCCACACAGGCTCAATTATGAGCAAATTAAAGGGATCCAGGCTGAACACAGTAATTCTGGTAATTTAAATAAATAGAGGAAAGTCTACAATTAGTAGGAAAAGATTGATTTTCTGGAAAACCCAGAAAATGACACCCTAACCCCTTTGAATAAGCATAGTTACATCCAATTATTTAAAAATAAATGTTCTTTTATTCATCATTTTAATCATTCCTGATCTGACAGAAGTGTGGCCACATGCATGCCAGCAGAAGTATCCACAGAATACTGAGGCAGAATAGCCTCAAAAAAATCTATAATGGTTATGCGGGAATTAATGACATTGAGTAAAATTGCAATCAGAGTTTTATACCTACATTTTAGAGCACGTGGACAACGTGTTCCTCATTTCCACATTTTTCAAGTACAGAGAAAAATTTAGAGCCATTCAGAAAGAATCAAAGATTTAATACCAGGGAATATATTAATATAACTCAATATATTAACAGAATAAAGAACAAAATACACACGATCATCCTGTGTAGACCCCTAAGATCACTTAATAAAATTCACATTCATTCCTGGTTAAACAAAGTGAGCAAATAAAAAACTTTTTAAGAAACTAGGAATACAAGGAAACTTCTTTAACTGGATAAAAACATTCCTATCAGGAACCAAAAGCAAACATAATGAATGGACATACACACAGTGGAAGCATTCCTATTTAATCTTTAAATTCACTTTGATGAGTTGATCTAAGTTTATGTGGGAGAATAAATGCATACGAAGAACCTAAGTAATTTTACAAAAGAAGAAAGATTGGAGGAAGATTGCCCTATACATCATCAAAGAACAATGTAATAACATGATCATTTAAACAGGGTGATGCTGGCATGGGACAGGCATATGCCAAAGAATATGTCTAGAAACTGACCTATGTATGTAAGAGAAATTCAATGGGACTGCATTCCAAATTAAGGGGGAAAGGATATAAAAGTCAATAAATATTATCTATATGGGAGACAAATTTTCCCACCTCATACACCATGGATAAAAATGCATTATAGATCACTAAACATTAAAAAAACAAACAAACAAGTACTTTAAAGTACTAAAAGTTAAAAGTAAATGAGATAAGTATAATATCCAAAAGTCATGAAGGAAAAGATGGAAATATTTGACTATAAGGCCAAAATTTTTTTTATAGTAAAGGATATCATAATCAAACGAAGAAGGCAAATAATAGATGGCAAGAAATTATTTGCAACATACATAATATCCTAAAGATGAAAGAGAAAAAGAATTAGCAAATGGAAATATTTTTGGCAAAGGCTGTGAATAGGCAAATCAGAATATAAAATTCAAATGGACCAAAAAAAATCACAAACCAAAAAAACCCCCAAATTGTCAATCAAGCTAAATTCAGTCAAAAGGGGAAGAGCGAATTGTGAATCAAGATTCATTCACATAACATAACACTATACAATTCCTGTAAAGAAACACAACATGTGACAGAGACGCATGGACAGAGATGGAGCAGCAAAGAGGTGGAGGGTTTGCTAAAGGACTGCGGTGGCGGATGATTCTGACACCATGTTTGTGCCTGGGGGGCAGGGGAAGGAGATGAGACCAGAAGGCTTTATTTTCCACAATAAGAATTGTCTGTCTTTGGAAACGTAAGTGAAAATAAGTAAATGGAACCCACTCACATTTAAAATAATTCTAAGGTAATATGCAAGTTCAAATACCAGCTTAGACTCAGCAGCAAAAATGGTACAAAGACAAACAAGCAAAGCAGGTACTGCTGGGGCCTGGGAGCCTTGGAGACGCCCACGGCCATCATCAAGAAGGAGCATCCAATACAAATGACACAGTGAAGGCGAGGTTGCAGCTTTTTTATTTTGAACCATATGAAATTGCCGTTTTTCTAGGTCAGAAAACAGTCAAACAGCACTAATTTGATATTCAACCTAAATACGTCAGGATTTTTTTTTTTTTTCACTTTTGGAAGAATGGATCTTGACCCCGCTGAGAGTATTATTGCTGTGAGCACAGTTACCAACATTTTCAGCAAACACATTAATTCCTTACATTGGCCCAGTGCTATTTTTAGAAATCTCAACGACTTACAATATTCTTTTCACCTAATCAAACAGGAAAGACGCTTCCAAATGTTTACCATTCTGGTGTCATCTGATTTTATTTGTTGAGAAAGTCAACACATTTATTGAGCTCACTCGAGTGTTCTGGGGCAGGGGTTCAGAATGGTCCTAGAATGCTGGCCTTCAGAGCCCTCTGCAAGGTTGCTAGCTTCAAAGTGGTACTTCCTGGAAGGCACCAAACTGTGATGGTTACCATAAAATATTTTATTTTATTTATTTATTTATTTATTTTTTAAATTTTTTTTTTTAAGATTTTGTTTTTTTCCTTTTTCTCCCCAAAGCCCCCCGGTACATAGTTGTATATTCTTCGTTGTGGGTCCTTCTAGCTGTGGCATGTGGGACGCTGCCTCAGTGTGGTTTGATGAGCAGTGCCATGTCCGCACCCAGGATTCGAACTGACGAAACACTGGGCCGCCTGCAGTGGAGTGTGCAAACTTAACCACTCGGCCACGGGGCCAGCCCCTACCATAAAATATTTTTACAGCACGTTTTCCCGCTTCTGCTGGATGGTGCATTTTAGCCAAGGCTTTTATTTTTCTTTCTTGGTGGGGAAGATTAGCCCTGAGCTAACATCTGTGTCAATCTTCCTCTATTTTGCATATGGGTCCCCACCTCAGCATGGCTGACGAGTGGTGTAGCTCCATGCCCAGGATCCGAACCTGCAAACCTGGGCCGAGGAAGCAGAGTGCATGGACTTAACCACTACGCCACCAGGCTGGTCCCAGCTAAGGCTTGTACTTTGGCACTTTTGTCCAGAAGAAAACAGCTCATGGCCCCTGCTAATTACATACACTGAACAAACATCATTGTCATTGTTGTCACTTACGGTGTAAGCACAATAAATTGTAATGGGTGACTGGCACCTGTACATGTTCTGCAAGGGCTATTTCAATTTAAAAGAGAAAACTTCTCAAAAACAAAGTTTTCAGTAACAAAAAATACAAAAACAAATAATGCTTCTGGACATGACTTAGGTTTTATTTTTAAAGATTTGATAATATTTTCTCTGGTAAATTAAAATGGGTGCTATTTTTTCTTTTGAAGAGATTTTTAAGAACCATACTACTGGCCACTTTTTTTTTTAATTAAATGAGGAAAACAGTAATATATTTCTTCCCCCAAATTAAGGGCAGTTTTTATCCATCCGTCTTCACAGAGAACTTGGGAAGACAGAACAGGAAATGTTTATCAAGCACTCAATAAAAATAAATTGCTCCTTAAATTACTAGTAATAACCTCTGTCATTGTCACACATGATTCCTTCTGTTTGTCAAAAGTTCCCGGTGACAACACAGCCCTCTCTGACCAGGGCTCACCCCAGCCTCCTTGCCGGGGCTTTCTATCCATCGTTCACTATAGGTGATTACCGCGAATGTACCCCCCGATCTAGTAAACGTATAGAAAATAGAACCCATTTCTCGTTTCATCACGATTGGACATTTTTCTGAACTGCTGTAAATGAGCGAGAGGTAAGTGCTATTTATCAGACTGTGTCGTGGGGCCGCAGTTTGGATTATTCTACTTTCTTGCTGCTACTAATGAAATATGTCATACGCCCCACGGACAATGCTCAGAGAGCTTGGCCTCTGGGCGTCCAGGAAGCAGTGACTATCTTGCTGAGAGTCGGTTTGGCCGCCGCGCTCTCCTCTCATAATTCTCTCTCTCTGAGAGCCCATGGGGGCAGCAATGTTCTCGGGCATCTGGGATGTCCTCCCGGGCCACACGCTCCGGGGTCTGGACAACACAGTTTGCAGGGGCCCTGGCTCTGCTCGGGCAGCCAACAGTCATCCAGAAATTCCCTGAGGGGCTCAAACCTCAATGAGGTTGTTCAGGCACAGATCCAGGGTCCCCTGACACCCTCAACCTGGCAAACCAGGGACCCTGCTTCCCTCCAGTGTCACAGGATTTGGGGATGGGCATTTAAAGAGATGATCCTTTCCTGCCATGCCTATCCATTGCACACAGAGATGGGAAGCCCTGTGCAAGAGGATGCATTTAACTACATTATCTTCTCAGGCCCTGCAACAGTTCGTACATATAGAAGAAACGGAAAGGCACAGGACGAAGCGAGGGTTCGGATACAAAGGCAGGTGAGCTAAAGGTTGATGGCATTCAGATCCTCCGGAAGGAAGGATGGTTTTTCTGACCTATATGGACCACTTTACAAAAATAAGTCATTTATCTCTCTTTTAAAAAGGGGTAATTACGATTAAATGTGCAAGAGGAGACAGGAAGATAGGAGGACCGAATCCCCTCCTCCAGGCTTCAGCTGACCTTGCCCCTGAGGTTGGAGTGGAGAAGACAAAGGCAGGACATTCAGGAAGACAGATGGGCTGAGGCTGGAGAGCTGACCCGGGTGTCACCCCACCCGCACTTACCCAGGTCCATGCTCTTCGAGGCTTTCAGATTCAGCGATTCGGGCTGCCTGGCCGGTGTCACCAATCTGAAGTTGATGTGCTGATCCGGAAAACCTACTGCCGAGTCCACTCCAGCGCTGTGGAAAGAAGCCATACGCCGTAGTTAGGGTTAGAACAAAATCTTTTTTCTTTTTAAAGGAAGCAGTTCTCATTTTGAACAGAGCCTCTCACCCCTCCCTCTGCAGGTCCCACCCGTGCATTTTCACCCAGTTCTTGAATCTTAGGCTTCTTTTAGGAGATGTAGCAACTCTCTTTTCATGTATTTTATCACATTCTACAATTTAAGTAAAATATTCTCTGGATAATATTGTGTTTTCCTCTCCACTGACTTCTGCTAATTGGGATCCTGCTGTCTCACGTGTAACTTTCAGCGGGAAGGCGACTCTAACAGCACTGGCCCTTCCAAGGATGTCACCAGATACTGGCAGAGCCTCAAAGAGGGTTAGGGGGTTTCTGCAGGATGAGCATGCCCTTCCTTCAAAAACAAGTGAAAGGGGAGCAGCCTTCAGAGAACACCATCCTATGAGTGACTGGCAGCTGCAGGAGTTTGGTTTTCTACTTTATTTGGGTCTATTTTCTAAAACACATGTCAATGCTCAGCAAATAGTCTGCTCGTCAATAATACCAAAAGGAACTAACAGGAAAAGCACAGCTGACAATGGAGACACCAGATACATCAAATATCCATTACAGGCTTTCCAGCACTTGTAGTCAAGCTCAGAGAACTCTACTTCTACTGAATATTTCATTTCTGTTGCTTGAGGATGGAGGGAATTCTATAAGAGAATTAGAGAAAATGCCTGATTTCTTGATCTAGGAATAAATTGTATTTATATACTTTTTATAAATTAAATTACAGCCACTTTCTCCCCTGGTACTCTCGTATGTTTACAAAGCAAGTACGGTAGCTCATTTCAGCATAGCTTTCTCCGAATCTTAAATCCAGTGAAACTCAAGTCAAGTATCCTCAGTAAATCTGAAAGTACTGAGCTTGAGTTTTTCAAACAGTTGGGATTTGACACTTTAAACAATAAAACAACAAGAAAAATTGTTATGAGTGAGCATCCTAAAATGCACAGGGGACCTTGATTTCTTAACCAAATATACCAAAAGTTTAATCTTTGCTTGAAACTCACTAGTCATTGCATATTCAATATCGCCTGGCAGCAATATTACAATTAACACGCAGCAATAATACTGCTGAGTGAACGCATAAAGCTGCATTCCTGTCCTGCAGCGGGTGGGTTAGGACGTACCCGGGACAGGCAGCACAGCACAGCGCTCCGGAGCACAGACGCCAGAGCAGGTCTGCCTGCTTCTACATCCTGGCGCCGCTGCTGTGGAGCTGTGGGACCTGGGCAAGTTACAGAGCCTCTCTGTGCTTCCATTTCCTTACAAATAAAATGGGTATAATTACAGTCCCTACCTCAGAGGGTTGTTAAGAGACAAAACGAGTTGAGACTCACACAGTAAGGGGAGGCATGTCTGGCATAGAGTAAGTGCTATAGAAGCATTTAGGAAACAAAGAAGCAGATAAACAAATAGACCTGCTTTTGCCTTCCAAATTACCCTAAATTTCTGAGCTTTTCAAATTATCCATGCTTTTTACCATTTCTTTGCCTTCCCTGTTTTTGTCAGACTCTCAGAAGGCCTGTGACTAAGAGCCTCCTCTCCTTCTATTTAGAAGGGTAGGGTTGCATGGTGGTTAGGGCCCTGGACTGGAGAGCAAGACGCCAGGGTACGTGGCCTCAGTTTATCCATGCATAAAATGGATAATGAGAGAATTTACTTTATAAAAGTTGTTGTGAGGCTTAAACAAATTAAGATACGTTAAATACTGACAATAGTGCTAGACACGAAAAAAAAGCCCAATAAAAGTGAGCTATTAATCCATTTCTTTATTTCTCTAGGTTCTGGTGGTCTTTGAACGAGGGTCTGTGGCATTCTCCAGCAAAGAAAGTGTACATGTTTTCACAAAAATTTCTCAAGAAGTTTAAATCTACACTTTAGAATTAGGAGCTCTTTTTGGCTTCTTTCTTGGTGTCTGGCTACATTCTCAAGATGTAAAGGCACTGACATATAAAACGTATTAGATGTGGTCTCCAGTGATGATAAAATACGCTGATTGTAAACAAAAATCCTTGACCCACTAGCGCTATTGACCCTGGCCTGGCATAATAGCAATTCTCTCATTGTTTCAGCCCATTTTAAAGACAAATTCTGTAATGCAACTGTGAACACGAGCTTTGCCTGAGCTTTGATGTTTCAGAAGCACTTGTCTTTAAATGTGTCATTCGACCTTTATTTGCACTTTGTTTTTCATCCTTTGATCTCTTGTGATGATGTGGCTTAGTGTCAGAAAACTCATGGCCTTCGTAGAATCAGAGAAATTAAGAGCCGGAAGGCGGTAAAGGCCACCTCATCTGACTCTTCATCTTGCAGATAAGATGCTGAGGCCCAAGGAGGAGGTTGATGTTCTAAGGTCACACAGCTGGCCAGCAGCAATGCCAGGAGCAAAGCTGTGCTTCCTTGAACGTTCCCAGAGCCACAAAGGCCATGGCTAGAATGGCAGTCAGCCTGGGACACGGGTTGCTGTTGATCCCCAACCCACAGAAATCCAGCCTTCCCCTTTGACTACAGATCTGCTCACGCTCTCTTATGTAGCTCTCATTTTAGGTTAAGGTTTTGTTTCAACAGAGTGGTCCCTATCATGAAATAAAAGAAAACCAAAGAGTTAATGAAAACAGATGCCATAGGTTATAATGAGCACCTTTAGGGAGGAGGTTAGGACCAACATGAATATTCCTCTTTAAAACACAGATCACACTGCATTTAAAGCAATGTGCTCAAGGCAGTCTGTGGGAATCTAGCCAACTGAGTAAGGTGCTGGTTAACCTACTTCATTGTCTTAGATTACTTTATCAAACCAGGCATTCACTGACAAATTAAGAATAAGAACTCAAATTTTCCGAGACACTGGGAGAAAACCATTCCCACTCCCATTTAAAAATAACAAGGTGGTTGGGGCCGGCCCCGTGGCCCAGTGGTTAAGTTCGTGTGCTCTGCTTCGGCGGCCCAGGATTTTGCCAGTTCGAATCCCGGGTGTGGACATGGCACTGCTCATCAGGCCACGCTGAGGCGGCGTCCCTCATGCCACAACTGGAAGGACCCACAACTAAAAATACACAACTATGTACCGGGGGGCTTTAGGGAGAAAAAGGAAAAATAAAATCTTTAAAAAAAAAAATAAGGTGGCAATGCTACTTGATGCAATAACATCAAGTAAGGATCAGACTAAATAAAGGGAATCTTTTTGTACAGATGTTGAGCTACAAGTAAGGATAGTCAAAAAAATGAAAAGCTGCTTTGTACATATGAATAACAAATATGCCCTGGTATATGTATACCTGAATATGCCCATTGAATTGATCCCAGTGATATACACATCTGTTACCATAGTTTTGAACACATTCAATAAAAGAACGCCTCCTGCCACGGTACAAAATGGCTGATTCCAGATTGGCAGGTGTTTAAGGAGGGAAGTAAGTGGAACATGAGACACGATTAGAGCCAGTGTGAGCACACAGTGACTTACACAGTGAGGGTAGTATTGAATTCACTGATGTGAAAATATTTTAGACATGTAAGTTAGACTAGTGAAACAGTTTGTAATTTTATGCTACATATTCAAAAATTTTGGAGTGAGAGGGTGACACCATAGTTAACTATAAAATATGACATTTTCATTTGAAGGAAGTTAGCACGTGCTCGGCTGAGCGGCTGCAGTGGAGGTCGTGGGAAGCTGGAAGTTGACAGAAGGCCAAAGACACGTCTTAGACAAAGGCCATGTTTTCAGCATGAGCAACCAGGGAATCTATCAAATGGAAACGATACTCAATGTCAAATTATGCCACCTAATGAATAAATAAGGGGAGCATGAAACAGATGCCAGTGTCCAGAGAGTGGCGACAAATCAGGAATGTGAAGGACACAGAAGACCCAGCCACGGATGTTCAAGGAGAACTGTCTGAAATAAAGAGGCGGGGGAAGAAGAGTGTGAGGGGAAAGCCAAAAAAACATTAAGTCTCAAGTCTCAGGTGTCCAAGGACAGACTTCCACAACTGGTTATTATGACAGAGTAGATGCAGGGCATGAGGGAGAGAGAGAGACAGATGGACAGACACAGAGCTGAGAGAGACCCAAGAGGGAGGGAAAATATGAACAGGTAGGGAATAACCAAGCGTTGGCTAAGCTGTTAATAAAATTCAACGTATTCTGTCTGCTGACTGATCTGCCTTTAACTCTCTCTGAGATATCACAGAAGAAAATATATTTCCTTTATGTTTATTTTTTATTTAGACACATAGGTGCTAAACTTTTGTCTAATAATCGTTGACATAATAGTACAAATAAGTTCACTAAATTCCTGATTTCCCTTGGGTGCGAAGAGCAGCGTTTTCCACTCCTCAGGCAGCAGCCGCTTTCTGTCCCAAAGCCTGGCTCCATCCCTAAAGCACCACTTTCCCCTTTGAGAGGGCTTTCACCCTTTTCTTGAAAGACAGGACGGCCCTTTGCTAGCCCTCCTGGCTCCCTTCCAACCCTTCCTCCACCCTGAGCTTCACACCAACCTCGCTGCTGCTGGTCACCTAGGCAACGCAGCAGCCTGCAGGATGGTGCCGGTCAGGGGATCCCAGGAGGGGGAGTTTCAAAGCTTTAGATTTGTTCCTTCCATCTTGAAAATGTCTTTGGCTCTGTCCCTTCCTCTCCAGCCCTGCTGCTTCTCCCGTCATTCAAGCCCTTCTCTCCTCTTGCCAATCCCCAGACTCCTCCCCTTGTCCATGTCTCCCCCATCCACTCAGCCTCCACAACTCTAGTCACTCAACCTGACATTTTCACTCCTAGGCTTGAAGCCCTTCCATGCTTCTCTATTCTTCTCTGCAGAAGCATCACAGAGGCATCACAGAGCATGGCAGACAATGACAATGTGGGGTGAGGAATTGGTGGGAAGGACGTCTACCGGCTATAGATTGGAGGTTCCACCCATCCCTCCTTGGACTTCTGACACCTGTCTCAAGTCCAGGTTGTTACCTGTGCTTCTGACCAACTGGCTGTAAATCAGAAATTCCCAAGACCCCTTCCTCGGGTTTGACAATTTGCTAGAGTGGCTCACAGAACTCAGAGAAACATGTTACTAGAAAGGATGCAACTCAGGAACAGGCAGGTGTAAAGCTACACAGGGCAGGGGATATGGGCAGGGGTGCGCCACTCGCCCCACATCTCCACATGTTCACCAACCTGGAAGCTCTCTGAACCCCGTCCTTCTGGGTTTCATGGAGGCTTCTTTACACAGGCATCACTGATTAACTCATTGGTCATTAGCAATTGATTCAACCTCCAGCCCCTTTCCCTTCCCCAGAGGCTTGGGGCAGAACTGAAAGTTCCAACCCTCTAATCACTCTGCACTGGCGACCACCCCCCACCCTCAGGTGCTTTCCAAATGTCACCACATTAACATCACAAAAGACACCTTATTCCTTCAACACTTAGGAAATTCCAAGGGTTTTAGGAGCTCTGTGCCAGAAACTGATGAAGACCAACTATGTATTTCTTATTGGCAATCATAATATCACAGGTTTATATCTGATTCATCTTTGCACTCTCAACAGTTTTGCACAAATACACAGGATAAACAGCAAAGTAGAATGAAAGAAATTCTTTCTAAAATGGATTTTTTTTAATGCCACCAAACTGTCTTTTATTTTTCCTTTTGTGAGGAAGATCATCCCTGAGCTAACATCTGGTGCCAATCCTCCTCTTTTTGCTGGAGGAAGACTGTCGCTGAGCTAACATCTGTGCCAGTCCTACTCTATTTTACGTGGGACGCCGCCTCAGCATGGCTTGATGATTGGTGCCAGGTCTGTGCCCGGGATCTGAACCTGCAGACCTTGGGCCACCAAAGAGGAGCACGTGAACTTAATCACTGTGCCACCGGGCCGGCCCTAAACTGTCATTTTTGACTCAGGATTGAGGCAGGCAATGGAAATGAATGAACAAAATTAAATATGTCCAGGTTTTCTTTTAAGAACCCCCCAGAGACACTGATCTAGAAATTATTGTGATTATCAATCTAATTCATGAAATATACCCTATGAGTAAGACAGCCGACTTCAAAAACGTAGGAGTCAGAGACAGCTAGATATAGGTAAGCTTCCAACTAACAGAGGTAGCTATACTCTTGTTGCATTGCTTTATTTTTAGCAGATTGTAATAAAAAGCATAATAGGAAAGACACCAGCATTGCTGCAAGAAAAATGAAAAAATTTCACAGGATTATCAAGGGATATAGAATGGAATAAAACACACAGTTTTTAACAGCCATAATAAATACAGAAAATAGCAAAGGGACAATTTAATGATTTTTAAAACTCATCAGAAGAACAAAATCTATGAATTCCACTAGTCAAATGGTGTGTATGCTTAGTAAATCTCTCTCATGCTTGTGTGATTCTAAAAATTATTGATTTTTTTGGTTTCTATTACAGAGTGGATATAATATTGGGCACTCTTTTCAACATTTTAGTTTATATATGGTGTTGCTTTAATTTTTAGATTCCATTAACTTTCTTGGAACATCTATTTTTAAAATACCTTTAGGGTTTGCCAATTACAAATGAGAGAAAACTAAGCCTTCTGTCTTCTCGGTTTTGTTTTATAGCTTCCCATATAACTTCTTTAAGTTCCAGTGCCCTAGTTTTTAATTTGATAAAAGAAAATTCAACAATTTTCTTAAATATTTTAATCATATATGACGAATCTTAACAAATTCCAGGAAGTAAAATATGAACAATCTGAGCTATGAACATTAGCTTTGGGAAGGTTTCACTGGAAAGGAATTATAGATACTACGAGATTTCCATTCTGGAAAGAAATAGAGTTAAAATAAGGTTGCTGGGCTTTCCCAGAAAACCATACCAGGGAACATTTACGACGTATCATTTTCTCGATACCTGTGGCTGTAATCTTCAAGGCCCAGTTCCAGAACGGGATGTGGTGATGGGGAAGGCGGTACTTGACTCTCGGCCCATCCGTCACCGGGCAGCGATGGCTCTATAAACAGAACAAATGGAGCCGTGGGAAACCGGAGGCAGAACCGCTCACGCCCGGGGTTGCTGCAGTCCATCTCCCAGACGCAATTTTCACCAACACATAAACCAACCTTGAAATAAGTCAGTCCTCACATGGGGCTGAAGGATTCGTCTGAGAGCTGGTGCAGCCTGGTCCAGGAAAGCTAAGCCTGCTGATGTGTTTTTATGCTGGTGACCTGCTGGCAACCCCTGGCAAGTCAGGTCCAGCATCCTGACTACCTTCTCCAGTCCAGGAGAGGCTGACACCTACTCATCAGCTGTGATTTGTGGAAGATTAACAAAGCCACTTCTTTTATGACTTAATGTTTTCGTAAACAAGACTCTATAAGGAATGCTCTGGATTATATGGTGATTTAAACATTTGCCTCAGTGACAAAAAGTCCTTCAACAAAACTCACGAGATGCAGTATAGCTACTCACCATTTAGACACAGTAGATGGGAAAAAAACCCTCTTTTGCATCTGTGTCATAAAGGAAACCCCCCAGGTTTGGAGTTTTGGAAGCAAAAGACTGGGGTCTGAATCCTAGTTTTCCCATCTACTAAAAGTGCACACTTTTTCAGTCTATTCTACACAGAAAAAACTAGACATGTCTTCTGAATATTACGGCAACTAATGACAAGTAAGGTTGGTCGAGATCCGACTGCGTAGCAGATGATGCGCTAGGCATTATGCTCCTTATATCGTCTAACTCTCATCACGAATGACAATGTCAACTAAAGGACAAAAAGCATTATGGGACATCCTGGGTAAGAGCATGGTTTTTGGAGCAAGACTGGATGTTCCCAACCATGGCCCCAAATGCTGTGTGAATTCGGGAAGATGACTCAGCTTCCATAAGCCTTGGTTTCTAAATCTGTAAATTGGGGATAAGAACACCTTCATTGGAAGAGTATAGGGATTATATAAGATGGTGCATATTCAAGAGGTAATTTATAAATGCAAAGTGCTAATAAGTAAAGGATTACATTTTATACATCAGAAACTACTGTTCATCTATTACAGCGAGACACTTGGTACAAGGTGGACCCTCTTGTCCCTGATTGCTGGAACAAGAAAAAAGTCCCCCTGTCCTTGAGAAATGCTGCTGGTAACAGAACCTGTTTTGACTCACCCACACGGCAGGTCTGATGGTTAATTTTACGTATCTTCTTGACTGGGCCATGGGGGCACCCGGATACGGGGTCACACATTATTCTGGGTATTTCTGTGAGGTTGTTTTTGGATGAGATTAACGTTTAAATCAGTAGACTGAGTAAAGCAGATGGCTCTCCCTAAGTGGGTGGGCCTCATCTAATCGGATGAAGGTCTGAATAGAACAAAAAGGGTGACCTTCCTCTGAAAAGGACAGAATTCTTCTTGCCTGTTCAAACTGGGACATTGGCTTTTTCCTGCCCTCAGACTCAAGCTGAATCATCAGGTTTTCCTGGGTCTTGAGCCTGTTGGCATTCAGATGGGAACTACATCAGTGCCTCTCCTGGGTCTCCAGCTTGCTGACTGACCTGCAGATCGTGGGACTTGCCTACCTCCATAATTGAGTGAGCAATTCCTCATAATACGTCTCTTTCTCTTTCTCTCTCTCTCTCTCTATACACAGTCTCATTGGTTCTGTTTCTCTGAGAACCCTGACAAATACACCAGGCAAGGCCTTGCTCTAAACTCTGTCCTAGGGACTAGCATAAAATGGAATGAGTTCTAGCAGTGCTGACGTGTCCTTGGGAACGAGGCTTAAAGCAGGAATCTGATAAGTAAGATGAGCAGGGTAGAGAAGCATGATGAGTAAAGGCAGCCAGCACAGTGCCCCTGCACCGCCCCCACCCCCAGGGATCCCGTGATTTGGTAATATGGCGGCAGTAGTATTTGGTATTATGGCAGCCAGAGACTTGCTGACAGAAACAGAGCAGAAGGACTACAGAGTGCATTGGGGACATGGGACATATTGGGACGTCTTTCTGCCTCCTTCTGATGGTAGCCTCAACTTCTCTGTCCGTCTTTACACAGGGTAAACACAGCCATGCTCAGGTGACTTGCCTGCTCAGAAACAGTTCAGGAGCACACAATGGCCTGCAGAGTAAAGGTCTGTGTCCCAGCAGCAGACTTCATCTCCTATCACTCATTAGCCACCCAAGACTGCTTACCGTTCCCCAGCCACAGCTGGGCTTTCCTGCCTCAGCATCTTTGCTGACATGAGTGCAAAACTGCACTCCGCCCATGGAAGTCCCACCTTCTCCCAAGGCCCACGTCAAACACCACCTTCTCTGTGAAGCCTTCCCTGCTGCTCTGGGATCTGTCAGCACTTCCACTACAGGGGCAGAGAATACTGGTGCTCATTTCATCTCTCTTCCTCCTTTCTTCCTGGGCACCAGCTAGACCCGAGGCCCCATTTCCCCACCCTCTTCATACAAGCCCAGTCCTTGGGCAAAGAATGTGAGTTGCTCTGGGGATGTCACTGCCCACCTCAGTGGTTAAGAAACAGTGTACCGTCTCCACCTCCTGCCCTTTCCCACGATCAGATGCAGGTAGGATGGAGGAGCTCTAGAAGATGGCCCGGCCGCCAACGGAAGGAGCCCAGGTCCCTCAGCCACTGCCTGGAGCACAGCGCCCCTCCTCTGCTGCCAAGTCTCACTGTGCTGTGACACAAGCGAAAAATACACCTTCGCTGTCTTTATCCACTGATGATTGGGTTTATCTATTAATAGTATGGAAAATAATTCTCGCATAACATTTATCACACGTTTCTTTCGCAATGAGCTATCTGCGGATCCATCATCCATTTACAGGTATTGATTTCTCTCACTGGACTGTAGGTGACTTCCTCCTTGTCCTCCTCTTCCTCCTCTCCCTGCTCTTCTTCAGCATCTTCTCTGGCTACTTCAAGTTCTATTACAATCACTAACTTTAATTTTTATTCTATTCACATGAACAATCTGTGTTTTTAAATTAGTGACAGGTGCTGGGGTAAATGCCTTCTTCATCTTGACCGTTTATCCTTGGTGCTTTTTAAATAGCACATGCAGATGCTGTAAGGAATATAGATATTTTTTCTCTTGGCCCAAACACCTTTGTTAAGCCCAATATCAGTGTGAAAACCTGGAATTCTTTTCTCCTAAAAATAATCTTTCTGGGTTTCATTGAGTGTACAAGGTAAGCCTTGATGTCCCACTATACACACGCCTGTGAGTGCTGACACTGCATCCTCTAGTCACTGCTTCACTGATGACCAAATGACCCTTATTTTAATCACCATCTTTTTTGTTGTTACTTGTTTTACAGGATCCATCCTGCCAGGGCCAGATCAGAAAAGAAGGGTAAAAGAGATTGTGACTTCAGATGAGGGCTCAGCAAGCTCTACCCCTGGTCCAAACCAGCGCCCCCCTGGTTTTGTACATAAAGCGTCATTGGGCACAGGCATGTCCATTCATTTATGTGCTGTCTGGCTGCTTTCCCACCACAGTGGCAGAGCTAAGGAGTTGCAACAGAGATCCTATGGCCCGCAAAGCCTAAAATATTTACTATGTGGCCTTTTACGGACAAAGTGTGTACCGACCCCTGCTTTAGACTGTTCTGGAGGGCAGTAACAGCATTGTGTTCATCGTTGCATCCCTGAGAGTGTCTTCCACACAGTGGAGGCATCCAATAAGCATCAGTCCAATTGAAAAGTATAATTTAATTTCTGAGCACCACTCAGAGGTGGTACCTTGCTGCCATAGAGGGGTGGATACACACTGGTTCTCAGGAGGAGGCACATTAGGAATAATTATATGATTGTGTGTCTCCTCAAAGGACCCCAGGGAACACGCATCCAGAGAGACAGGACATAGAACCAAAATTTTGGATATGGGCTCGGGATGAAAGGCCTAACGGAGACCTCAGTGGGTGACCTTGGGCAGATTTGGGGGCAGGAGGTGACTGAGGCAGGGGCTGGGGTGCTCTTGAGCTGAAAGGAGAGGAGAAGCAGAAGTAGAGGACAGAAGGGGACGTGAGAGCAAGGAGAGGAGAGGTGACCACAGACCAGGGACCAACCACATTTAGGCTGTTACTCAGCCAGGGGGAGACCTGCCAGCAAGAGTCTTCAGAAAATACAGCACTGGTGCACTTCATTACCATTCAAATGCTTAATAGGATTTTGCAGTAACCCCCTGGGACACAAACCTCCGCCCTTATTACCATCTTGGAGCACCACATGTATTCCATTGTGGGCATTGCTGGCAATTCCCCACCACAAATGTGAATTTTCTGGTGTTACAATTTCTACAAATGTTAGTTCTAAAAATGCCCTTTCTGTGTAGCAGCTTGACAGGAATATGTATATATATATAAAAAATAACCCTGGAACTGTGGGTGGTATGTACTATTATTATAAAAATAGATGGAACACAGCATATCAACATTGGATTTTTAAATATACAAAGGAAAGGAAGAAGGGAAGAAGAAAAAGTTAATGTTTTGGCTGTAACACTTCCTCTCCTCACTAGACATTACATTTTGTCAAGTCCATCTTGTTTTTCTAAAGCAGCTCCTTAAAAAACCTGGTGGTGGTGAGTGAACACTCACTCAGGTTTCATGAGTCCATGGCCTATTGCCACCTCACGGGCATCTGAAATTCAGGAACTCTCAACAGTTCTCAAAATGTAAAATGTTATTCATATTACAAAGAAGTCAGGATCATAATATTCTTCTACAGCATCATGTTTACAAATTATGCTATCTATATTTTTTGTCCCAATCAACAGGCTTACATAAAAAGTAAGAGAATTTCATCCACTGGACTCTTACAATTAAAATTTAATGAGACTATTCTTTGATAGGTCTAATTCTTATATCCAAAATTGTATCACAGATTCGCAAGGAAATAATAACAATAGATTTTCTCGGCTTTTTAAAAAATAGTGTTTAGTAGACTCAATTCTTGAAAGAACTGGATTTTATTTGCTACCTCGGAAAATCAAGGTTGGGGAGGAAGTGTCGCAGGAACCTTGTAGTTAGCTGATCTGCATGGCTTTTTCACTGGTGTAAAAGTTGTTCTACCTGGATCAGTGTCTCAGGAGGAAGAGAACAGGCAGACCCTCCCACCTGCACCCCAAGGATTCTAACTGTTGAGTGGAAATACAAACTCCAAGCATTCGACCGCAGCTCTAAAGTATCACAGCATTTTGTTTCTAGCTTGTGTTTTGAGTGGACTTTATTATTTAGAATTCTTTTCCGTGTGTGTCCTTACACTTTAAGTAGCTTTATGGTTTTGTTATTTCAGTCTTTGCTATCCTTCTTAGAGACATTGGCCTATTCCTGGAGTAACTCAATGTCCACTAAAAACAGGCTGTGCTATTATCACCTCAGCATCGAGATTTTATGGGTGTTGAAAATGAAGCAAGACAGGAGGTAAGGTGCCCAAAGTTCTCTTGGATGTCGCTGGTGGAATTGGGAAGAAAATCCTGAACTTGGATTGCCACTGGACCACGTGTTGCTTCAGAATTAAAGGCGAGTGAAATGACATAAAGGCTAGATACTTTAATAGAGATGCCAACATTCTTGGTCATCACACGGGCGTGGGAGCCAGAAGGCTGCTCCTTCCCCAGATTCTCCCATATCGTGATTTAAGGTCTCAGAAGGAGATCTCGCCCTGTCAAGAAAACTTCTAATTTCTTTAAGAAGATGAGAAAAGACATACTGAGTATTTCTTTATCTGATACAAAGTAGAGTCAGCTTCTAACAGACATTTTTAGTATCGGGTGAAAGGATTTCAATAGTTTCAAGGGACCAGCATAAGCCAGGGCCCGTGCTGTGGTTTAGGGAATGAACTCGAGTCAGAGAGACAGGAGCTGAATCCAGGCTCTGCATAGATCAAGGACGTGGTCTTGGGTAAACTGTCTACTCTCTCTGACTTTCTATTTCTTCATCTGTAAAATGAGGATAATAACATTATCCACTTCGAGTGTGCATGTAAATTGCTTAACGCAGTATCCAACACAGTAAAGATGGAAGAAATGGTCACAGCTGTTGCTACTAGTCTCACTAAAATGGAGGAATTCAGAGTAAAAAGCAACATCCCATTCTGATGAAATAATTTAATTCTAGAGGAACCTCAGATTTACAAGTCTGTTCTGATGGAGTAATCTGAGTCTAGAAATTGTTCCATGTAGTTAAATTTTGGTAACATCTTACGTGTCCAAAAAATAGAGGACTGATTACACAATCAACAGGTAATGGCTGCAGGCAGTAGATGACTATGCAACTACTGGACGTGACGCTGTAGAATATTCACTGACATGGTGAGATGTTCACAATGTGCTATTAGGTAAAAAAGCAATTTCCTGAACATTACATATACTATATTTCATTTTCATTTCACTTTATACACACATATTTGCATGAAGGAAAGACTTGAAATATACATAAAAATGTTATTGATTAGTGTCTTTGATAGATAGAAGTATGAGTAATATTAAACTTTCTTTTTATTGCCTTTCTCCAAATTTTCTGTAATGAATATGTATCGCTTTCGCAATACAAAAAAATTAAAGTTATTAAAGAAAGGAGATGCAAGGAAATAAAGGAATTTTCTTGGTGATCTGAAGTATAACTTTTGAAAAACAAAGAATAAAATCCAAATTTTTTACATCTAGAGCTCTACTAGAAATATGATCCATACAAGATATTAAGGGACAGTAAAAGTGCAGTGAGACAATAACAAGAACATTCCAACTGTCACAGAATGGTCTCAGTTTTGATATTTACCACATTCCTCTTAGAATCAAGCATAAATCTTTGAATCTTGTTATGAGCATTTTATGGTTTAACACCAGTCCACATATTTTTAAAGTTTAGTAGTTACTGATACTTGGTAATTTCCAATATTAAAAGGTTGTAAAAATAAATAAAGGAATAACAGTTTGCCCGTTTGCCATTTTGTTTCTCCAAGCATGGTTTGTTTTATGCATAACCCTCCATGTTTGGGGCACAAGCATAGAAACTGTCACTTAAACTGGAGGCAATGCCAGGAATCGCTTCACAGCTTCCGAGTCGGCTCTCCACCCATCTCCAGTGTTCATGACTCAGAGCAACAAAGTCTGCACTTAGTCTAATTAACTGCCTTTTGTTCCTTCTTTTTTAATAAAAAGACACTCTTGAGTTCTCTCACACCATCTGCGGTGGATGAAAATGGATAGACTCTTACCTTTCTGCCTGTCTTGTGGACTGTACATGCCAAACGGATGCAACGCACTATTCTCATTTCTCCTGGAGGTGGGTATAGCGTTTTGAGAGTTCTCAAAGCATGGCTTAGAAAATGCCCCACATTCTGCAGGCTCCTGGGGGGGAAATAAGAATCACACTTGCTTTTTTAATATGTTCCAACTTGGTCAATGGAAGCAAAGTGAAAGAATGATCGATTTATGAATAATCTTTCAAGAGTCTATTACATATAAGTCCTCAACTGTGGAAAATCAAAATGGCCCTATCACTTAAAACATCTTTCAATATGAAATAAAAAATACTGACAACGTGGTGCTAAGGGTTAGGAGTGCTGATAGCCAACACAAAAGAGGATTAACTTTATTATTCCTTCCCCCACTTACAACTGGCTTCTTTCAAGTTTTCTTCCATCTGGGAGTACAGCTTGTGGCAGTGTCAACACAAGAACACAGTTCATGCCAAGGGTGTTTTTCTGCCAACCAGCTGGCTCCTCACTCTTTCCCTGGGCAACTAAATGCATATGCTCTGGGACAAGTCAGAACCCAAGCAGGGCAGCTACTGAAGGGTCACGAGCGTGTCCCTCTGCAGACACTATGTCTTTTGGCCAGCAGCTAAAACAGACTGCTGTGACAACGCCAGACAGTGGTTCTCTTGAGGTTTTTCTCTTTTTTTCCATATTTCCTCCTCCAATTTTAATTTTGACAGCCTGTAAACAAATTCACAGTTTCCTTAGAACTGCTGTGCCCAGAATAACCCCCCATAAGCCCTGTTCCACAGGTGCTGAGAGGTACTGGGGGCAGTTCCAGAGAGCTCCAGCTGTTTGTTCAAGAGGATGCAGCCACGGAGAACTGGCCCCTGCTCTTGCTCACATTATGCGTCTCCTGAACAGATTTCAAGGATGGAATTTGGAAGCTGCCTCATGGCTGTTCCCTTGACCATTTGTGAGAGGAACATGCCCCAAACAAAACACAGATCGGATCCCCAAAGCTCTTCCCTTCTGAGAAAAGCATTCGGCCCAAACAATACGTTTGATTTATACTTTCCTCTTGAGTTACAAAAATTTGGTGTCCTGCTAGTTAAACAAAATATTTTAAACATCACTGTAAGAATTCTTAGTAATTAAAATGTTTTCAGCTGCCGAAAGTCTGCTAGCTTTCCGTCAAGGCTGATGGCATTTTTCCACGCCCCGTGTCCCCTCTGCCTCTGTGCTGCGGGGCAGAGCGAGCGTTGTGCTGAGGCGCACCATCCTTCATTCGAGCCGCGAGCTGGGGCCCTGGGCTTTGACTTAACAACAACAGCAAGAAGGAAAAAATTTTTTTCTGCTTTCCCAGCTCTTTGATAAATGACACAATCGATATCCCAACAACTGATCAGTAACCAGCCTAATTAAGGTATTCAGCCTGTAAAATAGAGCTGTCGTGGAGCCCTCCATTAGTGTCCCAGCCAATAAAAAATATAATGGATTTTTAAACATATTCTGCCTCTACCCAGATGAGCTTGCAGCAGGGAGGGAAATGTTTTGAGGAAGGGGAAAAAAAAGCAGGTCATAACCCATTTTTTAATACCAAGTCTCTAGGCACAAATAGAATTACAATTGAACCTCAAGCTCATCCTTTGAAAAACATGTTTCTGTTTAAAATGATTTTGATTCAATCAAGGGCTCATTATGGATTCTTCATGGGGTCCTCATCAAAACTGTTTACATATCTTGTACATCTGGGTAATGGGAGAAAATACCCCAACAACTATATATTTTGACTTTTCTTAAGTAGCATCTTCAACTTTTTTTATATCAATATAATGTTCAAGCAACCATTTTGGTATTCTTGCCACATCTGACGGATCTGCCTGAGCATATGAGTTGCAGAGGCCTTTTTCTAGGTGACGGGTGCTTCTTTGTTGTGCCCGGAGGTGACTGCTGTTCCAGGGGACAATACCCTCGAAACATGAGTGCACAACATCTGCTTTCACACAGCAAAACACAGATTTGGGAGATCAAATAGCTGCAGATTTTATTTTCAACTTAATAAAGATTAGCTGTACATTAGGCTTCCGTCTTTATATGAAAAAACGCTCTTTAATCTTCACGGTATCACAGAGATTTTCAATAGCCGAGAGTCAAGTGCCCGCTCATCCCCCATGGAAAGCGTGTAAGCACTGGGGAAACTGAAAATGAATCTTGTTTAAATGTCCTCATCAAAACTGCTTTTTGTGCCATTTCTTATTCCCAGTTGGTGCCCTAGTGAACTATATGAACAAGACACTTCTGAGGAGGGGCAACGAATGGAAAGTTTAACACTTTCTTCTGATGGAATCATTGTCAACCCACCCAAAGTGGGAGAATTAACATGAAAATATCTGCAGCCAAGGAGAACACAAAGAATAAAATGTCTCAACCTGATGAGGCAAAATACAGAGCACACATCCACTAGGCATTCACATATTCTAGAGAAAGACATGAAATTAGGGAAGATGAGAGGTGGGGGGACTCTTAACAACTGTATTCATTTTCCTTCTTTCCCTTCCTTTTGCTATCTGCACAGTATGGAACTCTAGAGCAGTGTCTTCCAGACTTTTCTGTTCATTGAGGTGTCTTTGTTCCGAGAAATCTTAAGGGAGATGTAACAGGCAGGTGCACAGAAGGGGTGACTCAGGGTCCACAGGGCATCCTTCACAGCCATCTCCAGCAACTGGGTTCCATGGAGTTCCAGGGCTCCAGGGTCAGAATCAAATGAAACCAGAAGGGAGCCAGTTCTTTCATGGTGCGAAGCGATATAGGTTTCATAACTATGCACATAAGTCAAGCCATTAAATATTCATGGAAGCCTCTCTGTCACTTAAGCAGGCACAAATGTTGGAAACAAGTTGGCTCATTATATATAGTCTCCAGTAATTGGCCAATTTACATTTATCTAACATTTACAAGGTTACATACAGAAGAGTAAAAAGGTACAGTTACTCCTTTCCAATAGCTGATAATACGACAAAGTAAGATAGCATCTGTGGGTTTACCACTTCAGCTTACTCTCTCGGATGAAGTAGGCCTCTGGGGCAACTTCCATCCATTCATTTCGCAATATTCATTGTATCTACTACGTGCCGGGAAAGGAGAATACAGTAAGGCACAAAGCGGATAACAGTGCCTGTCATGTACAAGCACTGACCACTCAACTGCAGCAGTCCATGCGGTCAGGACACGGCCACCGTGGGTTCTAAGTCAGGTTCCAAAACTCCACGGCCCAAGCATTAGCAACTGTGAGCTCCAACTACCTTCTACCCTTGTTTAACTTGAAAATCCTTAATTTTTTATTTTTAAGTTGAACTTATTATTGAAACTAACATTTCATATTAATGTGTTTTTAATAGCATTCTATTTTAACTTTGCATATTCTTGTGTTACACGTTATTTGTCCTTAGGGAATATATGCAGGATTTCTTGATATTTTTCTTTACTCTTAACTACTATCAACTTTTTTCTTCTTATCTTTTCTTACAATAATTTTTAGGAACATTTACTAATTATTCTTCATATATAAGATAAAATAATGTTTTAAGAATACCATATATTTATTATAAATAACATAATTGTATAATATAATAATATAATTGTATGTAAGTGAAATGTTCAGGGATGTCAGTATTCAAGAATATTTTATGCTTATACTTTATATGTAAGTAAAACTATTCCTTACATTAAAAAAACCCATAAAGAAATTGTGATAGATTTCAAAAATATTTAACTGAAAACATTTATTTAATAACATGAAGCAAGCAACTTGCTCGATAGATCAAATTTTAAATTAGTCAAGCTTTGTTATCTATGTGCAGGTTACAGGAGAGAATACAGAGAGCTGACTGCATCAGAGGGATCTTCACATTAAGCGGTACGCACAACTGGTTGAGAACTTCCTAAGGCATGCACACGTCAACCAAAAAGTATATAAAGATGTGACATACTTTAATACTTTATTACATGAATAAAGTCCTATTCATAAAGCCCAGAGCTCTAAGAATTTCTGGAGGGAAAACCCAGAAAACATGGTCTTGTTACATCTGATAAATTACTTACTTCATATGCACATTTTTACACCTTCTGGTTATACCTAAAATATATAACCACCTGTTCACCACATAAATCCATCAGAGCCTTGTGGGACATATTTTTCCAGTTTCAGAATCAGTATGAGTCTAACTATCATGCTGGTGATGGAAGTTTGCATATTCTGGGGGCCATTTGGGCCATCTGCTGAGGGCAATAAAGATTCGCATCACCTCCAGTGGTCTCTCTGGCCTCCTCAGGATCACCAACTGGATCATCCCTCGGATGTTTCCTTCCATGGACATCGATCGCCTGAGTGTCTCCATAGCGTCGTGGTTAGACTTCCCCAAAAGAGATTCCCCATTAACGGCAACCAGCTGGTCATTCACCCGCAGACGACCATCCTAGGGCAGAGGAAAGGAGCACAGAATTAAACAGGGAAAGCATGGTGATGCCATGTGGCTGTTCGAGGAAAGTTCAAGTTTAAAAATGAAAAAATAAAAAGTTCAGCTGTTAGGAATGGTTTATTTTCTATGGCAGAAAAAGGTTCTGGAGCTTATCGGACAGTCACAAATACTAGCGATAATGAATTTGTGAAAGTATTTTTTAGAAATCTCAGAGTCCTGAACTGCATTAATTTAGACAGTTGTACCATGTCTCTCACCTAGATCTTTGGTCAGTATGCTAACCTAGGGCTGGTTCTGCATTTGCTCTGGCAGCGACCGTGCTGTTGGCTCAAGGAAAGGGAGTTTGGAAACAAAAGGAAGCGGTCATATCACTTGACACAAGGGTTTGCATTTTCAGGCACAAAGAGACATCAGGCTTAAAAGCTGTGTGCCTCCCAGTAGTAATGCATCTCCCAGATAGCGCTGCTAGCTCTACTGAATAGTGCTGAAAAAAAATTGTGTCATTTTCTCTAACACAACCCCAAAGTTGCTAGTGTGCAAAAGGACACATAGGTGTGTGAAGGACCGATATGCTATGACGTCTTCTGGCAAAAGGAGCCCGTCAAGCTTGTTGTGCGGAGGCTCTGACTGATGGGTACTCTCACCCAGCATCTTCAGGAAGGAACACCACATACCGCAAAGTGCACACAACCCGGCATGTGGACAGGCAGCCCGCCTCTGGTCTAAACCACTTCTAGGCACTAGTCATCCTCAGCCAGAAGCCCCTCACAAGCTGGAGTCTATAGAAGTAGCTAACAAACCCAGATGCCAGCTCTGCCTACCAAAGAACCTGAAGGACCACAGTGATCGCCCCAACAGGCAGCCCACTTACCATCCTGGCTGTCAGATTAGGGATGTGCCCTACCCCTGTTTTACACCAGGGTGGAAGGTTCTTGCTATGAGCACAGATGCAAGTTTAGGAATGTTATGATGCTGCTGCTGCTAATAAGCTTAACAGAAATAACAGTAGGTGTGCATAACAACTTACCTTCCTGGAAAATTTTTCTGTAAATTATCTCTAGAGATTCTCACAGACTCAAGAAGCAGATTAATGTTTTTATTCATATTTTACAGATAAGGAAACTGAGGCAAGAAGTGATGGAACCTACTCTGGGTCACAAAAGCAAGTCACGCAGATGACCCAAATGGGCTTCCCGAACCTTGGCTTTTCAGCCCCTCTGCTGGAACTCCCTTTGTTACTCGTCTCTAGACTACAGTTGTGCAACACTGAAATAGGGAAAGGAAAATAGAGTTTTTGTGGCTAGAAGTATCTGGGATCCGTGTTCAAATTAGCAGAATGAAATGCAAGAAAAAAAACTTCCCTAAGAAAAGAGAAAACCAGACATAAAATGGACAATAGGACCAACCCCACAGCTTTGAGAGAGAAAGCCTGTGGACAAGATGATAAACTCTGACTAATGCAGTAGCAGATGGTGGGAGGGAGTTCCTCTGCTGACAGCAGGGAAAAGGTGGAGGCTGTGAAAGCTGTCTGGAGAGCTCCTGACCTCATGGAGACCACCGCACAGGCCGCCTGCCAAGAGGGCACTGGCTGCTAGGGTCGCAGAGGCCACCCAAGGGAGCACGTGCCCACTGGATGAGGAAATTGAGATGGCAAAGCAATGGGATCGATGGAGAAGGGCGCAAAATCAGAGCTGGGGGAATGTCTCAGCAAAGCTTAACGTCCCCTCCCTTCCTCTTGTGTTCCCAAGCCACTTAACCTTTCCCCGAATTTGGAGCAACTCTGGAAATGAGATTTACAGGAAAGGCCAAATGAGAAAGGAATCTCTTCATTTCTGTTATCTGATTTTGAGCGAGGGAGGCGTCTAAAGAATAAGATTAAAGTCACTGAAATGGGGTAAAACAACAACAACTTTAATGGCTGAGTCACGTGAAGCGAGACACAAGCCGAGAAATTATTCTGTTCTACTTTGGCATTTAATGGCAGGAGGACTATTGGGGTGAATCTTGAGGAGAAGGTCGGGAGGGTCACTAAAAGTCTTTTTAGGCTGACTGGAGACGGATGCGCGGTTTTACAGAGGAAGAGGAAGAGAAGGGTCGGATGAAGGGCCCAGCTTAACAGGAAATGAAGTCTAGTGTTGGGTTTGTTGAGGCTTTGTCTTGTCAGAACACCTCGTCCTCTGCGACAGGAAGAAGAAAGATAAAGATGGAAACTTCACGGGTATCTCTAGAATGGAGGGAATGAAACTGGAGGAAGATCTCACCTGGTGAACTCTCTGTGAACCTCCTTTGCGCAGGATGGGGCAAAGTCAGAGTGAGGAGGTAAAGAAGAGACAAGACGTAAGGAAATCTTTTGTAAATAATCTCTTACCAACAGGTATTAAGCACAAAGTTTTATTTTCAGCTACATTCCACATCTCAAGCAAGCAGAACTACACTGAAGTAGTACATATTTTCTGTGTCCAAATCCAAAACAGAAAGGCAGGGCAGGTCACCCCGGGGCAGCGGGATCTCTGGAAGACACTCACACTCATCACAAACGTCACTGGAGAGCTGTTGGGCTTGAGAAAAATCCACACTCTCATTTCCTGGCGTGGCTGGTCTGCTGCTATGGGTGTGTGCTTTTTCTTTATAAGATAAATGATGGGTAATTTCATTAATGGCGATGCCAGTAAGCACCACGTTGTCCTAACATTTAGAATATGATCAGAGAATTTAGAGCTGGAGGGGTCCTTGGGGGTCATCTTATCTAACTTCTTCCGTTTACAGATAAATAATGTGACACCCAGAGAGGATGAGAAGCCATTTATTGAACTCCTCTTAAGAGAAGGCACTTGCACATAGATTAGGACTTCTTCAGCTGGTTAAAGTCAGAGCTGGATCAGAACAGCCAAAGTCCTGATTTCTCAGCACTCCCTCTTCGCTAACCATTCTGTCTTCTACATAGATGATGATGACTAGTCCAAAAAGAACCAATGCTTCAAGAAAAAGACATCCAAATCCAAGAGGACAATATGCCACCAGATGTCTCCTGGAAGAGAACCTTCTACATGAAAGCCAGAGTCAGGTGACAAAAGACGTGGAGACAGGAGATGGTGCTGGGCAATGGCAGAGCAAGGAAGCAAGGTAGAAGAGGCAGGAAAATACTGTCTACCTGTCTACATGCATGCGTGTCCACGTATGGTCTTGATCTAAAAGGAAGCAGATCCAAAGAAGAGCTCAACACAAACTCATCAAATATCCCTCGAAACTGTGTATGTCTATTTTGCTTTGGAATAATTTTGATGAAGAAAAACAGGTGTTTATGCTTTTATTTTTTCTTATTATGTTCAAGTAAACACTTAGGCATCAGAATGTTAACTCTCATCAACTGATTTTATATAAGTGAATTCAACTATCCAGGGATGTTACTTAGTAATTTTAGGATATTTATTTCATTGTTATCTGTCTGGATCATTCTGGCATTTGTTAAAGAAAAAAATTCCCTTTCTGCTATGGACTGAATGTTTGTATCCCCTCCAAATTCACATGCTGAAATTCTAACCTTCAATGGGAAATTATTAGGAGGCAGCATCTTTGGGAAGTGATTAAGTCATGAGGATGGAACCCTCATGAATGGGATTAGTGCCCTTGTAAAAGGGACCTGAGAGAGAGATCCCTCGTCCCCCTGCCATACGAGGTAACGGCCATCTGTTAACTCGAAGGGGGCCCTCAACCAGATAGTGAACCTGCCAGCACCTTGATCTTGGACTTCAGCCTCCAGAACCATGAGAAATAAATTTCTGTTGTTTATAAGCCACCCAGTCTATGGAATTCTGTTATAGCAGCCTGAACTGACTCAGACGCTTTCCTTCTTGCTTTACTGTCATCTGACTCCTTACCCAAAAGACAGTAACTACACCCCTCACCTCTGGCAACCCCTACAACCAATCCTATCCCTCTTCAAGCCTGGAGAGAGTAAAGGAAGTTCCCAAAGAGGAAGAAAAAAAGAGGAAGGAGAACAGAGTAAAGACAAAAAGTAACTTCCTCAGGGCACTTTAGGACAAGTAAAAACTGGTAGGAGATTTACATCTTCTCCACGTCCTGGAAGGGCTTCACATCTCATCAGCCTAACCTGGTTCTAACACAGTTGGAGGAGTGGACTAGGAGACAAGAGGTCCAAGTATTACTTTTCCTTTTTACTGAACACCTAACATAGGCCAGTCCTTACGTAAATATTTTGTATATGTTCTGTCAATCATTTCTTACAACAACCCTGTGATATAAATGCTACTCTCCATAATTTAAGAGGCATGAAAATGGAGGCTCAGAGAATTAAGTGACTTGTCAAAGTTTTCTGGCACGGCCAGGTCCACTTCTCTCTGAGTCAGACATGTCCCAGTTGTGTTATGGGGCTTCTAAAATCAGAGTTCTAGAGACTATTAAAGACACCACAATTATTAATGTCAATACTTCTTTAATGAGTCTCTACTTTTTATAGTCATTGTGCTCAACCTTTACATGCACTAGACAATTTAACCCTTACAACAATCCTATACACTGGGGACGATTGCCCCCATTTTTATGTAAGAAGAAACCAAGGATCCAGCCAGTTAGATGCATTGTTATGGGTCACATTTCTAAAAGCAGATTTGAATTCGGTTTGGGTCACTCTAAAGTCCATGTTTTCAAACACTTTGCTAGTGATTCTTGACCTTTATAGGCTCTTAGACTCCTTAAGAATCAAATAAAAGCTACAAATTCTCACCTCTGAAGAACAAATATTTATACCATGGTTTCCCCAGAGCTGCACATTTGGACCAGAGAATTCTTTGTAGAAGGGGCAGTCATGTACTTTGTGAGATGTTTCATGTGCCCCTGGAAGCATATCCATGATTTCCCGGGGGTACAGTGACCTCGTAGTACAGCCCCTGCTGCATTCAATAGTGCCTGGGTAGTACCTCTGTCATGATTCCTAGTGACATTGCATGGCTTAATCCACCTCTTTGGGCCAATTGTTT